AAACTGGTAGAACGTACCATGTAAAGTGCGATAATCAAATTCATAGTCGCCGTGTGTGCATATCATTCCAGCACGATGGGACTGAGTAACGTAACATAGGATAATATAAAACGTACATTATTTTCACACTAAGGAATGGTATTTAATAAGCACGATTGAATAGCTCACAGAAGCTGACTCACTGGAATGAGTAGATTCCCAGTTATATCACTGCCGCATGTGTTACACTCCATAATTTCGGCAGAGGTGTTTCGGATTGTGAGGGGGCAGCAACTCTCACTAAATTTCATCCCACCGATTTTCAGCAAATCAGCGTGCAGCCGGGGTCGCTGCGTGCATACACCGGTGAATCTGAGTGTGGTCTGTTTCTCAGTCACATGCTGACACTCCTCCCAAACGTATACTGTTGACTTCATGAAGCCATTATTGTTTCATAACTATTCAACCTTCTCAGACGAGTGCTATGAGCTGACTGACATTGAAAGCTAATATGAGCAGAGGAGTCTCTAGTCATATCCCTATCTTTATATATTTGATACTACATGTTACGCATATTACATATTATGTTATATATGATTTATCATTTCTTTCTATATAAATCATATATATCTGTGTTATGCTCTGTTTCGTTACTCAGTCCCATTGTGCTGGAATGATGTGCACAGACGGCTATTATGAATTTGATTAATGCACTTTAAATATATTTACATGAAATGTTCTACCTAGGACGCTATCTATCTCCTCACTATACACTTGTGATGGCCTGCGTTCTGCATGCAACGTTGATGATTTCAATGGAATTTCGGGTGTAGCATGCAATCGAAAAGTTTCGTTAATTTGTAGGGCCTCAAACTCTCACCGAAGTTAGCCGCCAAAAAGATGGTAAATAACTGTCACCGACGAAGATTACTTTGCACATAGTCGAGTCACTGTTCACTGTCCGGTTAACCTATGCGCGTAATCGAGTTGATTTGGCTTTGGCGATGCTCTTTGTCCTATTGAAACCCGTCTTTTCGTAATAAAGCGTACATAACACGGAACCAGAATGAAAACCCATGATTCATTCCACTGGGGCGAGATAAAATTGCCGAATAGGGACAGGACTACTAGAGAAATCCACTGCGGCTTTTTGGGGTGGCATCCTTTTGTCCGACGCAGTACTCGAAATAGCGGAGGAAAGCGTGCTAACCGATCTGGCAATTTGGGGTGGCATCCTTTTGTCCGACGCAGTACTCGAAATAGCGGAGGAAAGCGTGCTAACCGGAACATCTGGCAATCGTTTATCCTCAAATCGATTAGCAAGATGAGCAGAAGTTTGAACTAGCGAGATAGACCACAGGTCGCCAAAAGTTCTACTCTGATTTCAGCAACGTGGACATTTTGATAGACAACTGAGCTCATTAAACAGCGCGTATCCTTCCCCCTTTGTCTGTTTCAAGTGAGAGAGAACCAAGTGATCAAATTTCCATTGCTCCACCTTCTGTTGTTAGTAACCAGATGCAATATTGTCCACTTGCTTCTCGTTTTACTCATTCATTTTGTTGAATTTTATCTGAAATTAGTTATTCTAAAAATTTTCTAGCCCTTCTTATAAAATGAACCTCACAAGTAACTCTGTTGATATGCTGACGTTTGAGTTTACTTAGACCCGAAATCACCCAGTTTGTCGCTTACAGGCATCAATCTCGCGGATGAGATAGGGTTCAGCGAGATTTTGAGTACTTTTCTATATGAAAATATACTGCGGTTTCTCGAATATCGTACTAGTTGAAGCATGAGGTGGCCTCTGTGCAGAAGCACATTCAGCTAGGGGGATATCACAAAATGGAAGAGAACCAGTTGGGTATCTGGTGGAAATCAAACTGATTTGCAAGTGAGTGTATTGGTCGCAAACTGGGATATCTCCATGCTTGTAGTGATCCATTTTTACTATATTCGAGTCTTAACCATCCCCCGAGTTTTCATTCCCATTACTGATGCAACTTTTGATTCGAATCCCCTCTACAGTAAGGTAAATTTTGGTACGGAATTCATGGACTGTAATCCGTAGTTTGCTGAGAATGATACGGTTGTGTGCGACAAATGCAATTTCAGTCTCCTTTGATATTTACATGTTCGCGAAAAACCAAATAATTGTTATCAACTACCATCTTCCATATGATCGTACTTTTTAGTTAGCACTGCTGCTAATCTTTGTGTCGGCGGACATGTATCTCCTTCGGTGACTCTTTATTCACGTCAACAACGCGGATTCCTCAAAAAAGCTCGCCGCGGTCTCTTCTCCAGTCTTGGAAGAGAGGTTGCAATTGTTGGTTTTCGGAGTGCTACCAGGGGCTCCGCAGGTGGTCCACGAGCCCGACAGATACCATTTGGCGGACTCGACAAATCTTCTCGTCGTACTTAGAACACTGACGACTCAAACTATTCTGAGGTTTCTTATCATTGTCACTGGCAACGGAAACGTTACCTAAAATAACATTCTCCGCGTTCAAATCATGTTGGGTATTTCACCAAATTAGTTTCACATTCGACATAGTTTATGTTGACATATCCCCGATAAAACGATCCAGGTAAGGAGAATATCAGTGAGTCGTTGAGAGAAAAATAAAACGTCTATTGGGGTAAATTCATTTTCCACTACCAAGTTTTCGACGACTTGACTGAACGAGCAAAGTTGAAAATTCCGATCCATATTTCACCCTGCAAGCAAAGTCGATTTCATCCGAATATCCCTCAAGAATATTTCGCCCCCTTCATCCACATTGGGAATCAGCTGCAGCGCGCACCTCAAGAATGCTCTGGTTGACCAAAACTCTGATGCTTCCAAGTGCTGGTTGATGCCTAAACCGTTCAACCACGGTCCCCCAACCTGCAATGCAGCTGACACACAATTTTAAACAGTACGGTCCCGCTCATCTATCAGTCTTGCTAGCCCTATCAATCGGGAAGCGTCGACCGTGTTCCCCGATAATGATGAGGTTCTATTCATCTTTTGAATTGTCCGATTTTATAATCTACTTAGATTTTTCAGTAGTATAAAATTGGTTGGAACGTTCAAGCGAGATTTGGGATTCTTTGCATCGTCATAAGTGCGTATTATACGCACTTATGACGACGCTCAATAAGCGATCAGAAATTTCGCGTCTCGCTAACCTCCAACCAATTTGTAAGTGGCAGAGGGGAAGAATATTTTCAGGAATTGAGCAAAACTCCTATATGAGAAATTATCATTCGCGGAGCCAGTAAATACCGAACCACGTGATTCGGTTCCGCGATTGAAGGTTGAGTGGCATCTAAATGAGGTCTGATCACGAGGACTGACAATTGCTGATTACCAAACGGTCGTAACCATCTGCAGGCCAGAGAGTTGGCGGTTCGGGACTCTCTGAATTTCGTGAGATGAACACTGCTAATGATTCTCAAAAAGAGTAAAAAGGCGGTACGGTGCTTTCGGCTTTTGTGCATAAAATGTTATCACAGATATGACGAACTCTTTCTTCCTCAGACGCAAGATTCCAAGTGCATCATTGAGAAGTAAACTGCGCCTTTCTCACATCATTATCCTGTACACCGCTAGGCTTCAGCAAACCGTGATAACAGCCGAGCTTACCCAGTATGTACGTCAAGAACGATCTCAGTCAATTGACAGAAATGGTCACATTGAATTTTCTAGGCGGAAGAACATCACAGGCGTTCAGATGGTACTTGTTGATATGTGTTTTCACCTGGCAGGTTACAAGCCGAAGACTCCGATAAATGCCCGTCACCACTTCCTCACGAATGTGGAAGACCATTCGAGCATGAACTATTTCTCATTTGTGAGATTTTATAAAAATAAACTTTGTGTTAAATTATTTGTCGTACGTTGCAGGTAGAAATTTGATTTTGCCTTGCCACGAAATGTCTGTCTACCTAGAGGAATAACTAATACTTTGGATGAAATCCGCGAGTGACGTTCATCTTCGGCTAACTGTTATTACGGTAACAACATGCGATGCGAAGCAAAAATAAAAAGGGGTGGGTTAATTTGTAGTGTCGTCATACCATCGGAAGCACCAAGTGGCCGAATCGCGCAAGACATTCGCCCATATCTTGGTGATTTTTGTGACGGATATATAAGGTAGGCTTATTCTGTTGTAAGATCTCCAATATAGTTGTTTCTGATCAACAACTAATATCTCACGCAAACCTCGTCGATTCTATTCACATTTCAATTCAGAAATATCTAGTTCATGATGTCCAACTTTGGACGGCATTTACACGAGGTGTTTTTAGACAAAACCGACAACAACCTCCAGTTCCGGGCATTGTGATGACCTCCTATGGCCCTAATTCACAAACGCTTACAGAAGCAGCATTCTGTGTTCCATTTGTTTCCACTAACAGACTTTCATGCAAATTTCACTGATAAATGCACTTCTAATCTAATGTGTTCAAAAGTGCGCTTGACAGAATAAGTCCGGTCTTCCTAGATGGAGTGTGAACACAGGTAGGCTGGTCTTGCTTGCGTGACGATGTAGTCCCAAATGGGATTATCCCAAAATTGGTGGGATGTATGCAGTGGCACATACACAACAGCTTATAAAGTTATTTTACTATAACTCATTATCACTTAGAACTAGGCCGAGAAAACAGACAAACTTTGATGAAACTTCACAGCGAGGGGAACGCTTGGGCTATGTGGCGACAACCGATAGGCCAAGCGATACCTTGTAACATGGTGTGGCCTGCGTTTACACAAAGACACATCTGATGACCAAAGCGTGAAGATGAACAACTCAGATGTTNGGGAAAACAAACTTTCTAATTTTGTCCTGTCGTCTTTCTGCATAAGTTTGTGAGACGCGTGGCGAGGGCTAAGAAACGATTCGCTTTTTGACACAAAAGCTCCAACAGGCCACATGACTAGGTTTTGAGGTTGGTAGAGATTTAGGGTGGAAGGAGAGCCAATCCGCTAAGTCAAACTGTTGCGTATCGGCCGAGGGATTTTTGTGTGTTAGGGCGCCAACAGACTTCAAGAAATAGGATACCCAATGAGTTTGATTAAGTGCCAACTAAGAAAGATATTTGCCACAGTATCTAGACCCAGTGAGGAATGGATTGGCACAGCAGTCATTTCATATAAAGCAGGAACATCGGAGGTTATTCGAAGATTTTTGAACTTAGCCAACATTCGGTTAGCTTTTCAGAAAGGAAAAACGCTACGCCCAGTTTTGGTGCAATTGGAAGATACCCTGCCGACTGAAAGGACTAGGGCCGTGTGTAAAAAAATTAACTGCAACGATTGCGCTAAGGCTTGTATAGGACAAACTGCCAGGGAATTGCACACCAGAATTGGTGAGCATAAAAGAAGGATTAACAAACCATCAAGGAATGCTGAAGAATACCAAACGCTGGTCAAAGACTCAGCGATGGCGGTACATGTCTTAGACACGGGACATAGGGTAGATTTGGAGAATGTGGAAGTTTTAAGACAGGGACTGCGATTCACACCACAGTGGCTGGTAGCCAAGGCGGTGGAATAGAATCTAGGGTGTGGAGCTAGTGAGCGTATGGGAAGCGGCATTAGATAAGCCGAGTTGAGGTGGAAACCCCAACCGACCAAAGGTCACAGCATCCCTCGTACACAACTATCTTAGCACTAGCTCACCCACACAGACTAACAGTAGGTTCAAACGAAGTTCAAGAGGAACCATCAAATGAACCGAACCAGAAGAACTAGACCCTAGGCTAGCCCCAAACCACATTAAGTAGTTTGTCCCGCATGTATATAGGTCACAAAAATCGAGGAATTTCACTTATATGCTTACATTTTCACTTGAAGAACTGAAGTCCTATCGTCGGTGTCCTTCTTATAGCAATATATTAAACTATTTCTCCCGGCACACCAACGGTAGAACGAGGAGCCATTTATCCAAGACAGTGGTTGAATTGAAGAACTGAAGTCCTATCGTCGGTGTCCTTCTTATAGCAATATATTAAACTATTTCTCCCGGCACAACAACGGCAGAGAGCCATTTAATTTATCCAAGACAGTGACTGGTTGAATTGCATAAAGTGGTCTTAGATAAGCCGAGTTGACAAGTGACGGTGTGGTTGTCAATCCACTTAAGATCATTAGAAAAAACCGGGGGTAGTGGTGGAAACCCCAACCGACCAAAGGTCACAGCATCCCTCGTACACAACAATCTTAGCACTAGCTCACCCACACAGACTAACAGTAGGTTCAAACGAAGTTCAAGAGGAACCATCAAATGAACCGAACCAGAAGAACTAGACCCTAGGCTAGCCCCAAACCACATTAAGTAGTTTGTCCCGCATGTATATAGGTCACAAAAATCGAGGAATTTCACTTATATGCTTACATTTTCACTTGAAGAACTGAAGTCCTATCGTCGGTGTCCTTCTTATAGCAATATATTAAACTATTTCTCCCGGCACACCAACGGTAGAACGAGGAGCCATTTATCCAAGACAGTGACTGGTTGAATTGCATTAAAGTTTCGATTTAGCTGGGGTCCAGTTATGTATAGCCTGGAAACCGATTGCTGAGACAGTCAGTGTATTTCACAGCTAATCAACAGATTTCAATACTACTCATGAGGCATATAGAAGCCCTGGAATCCTGCCACTCCGCGGTACTCCTCATAAGGTTCCCGAGACATCCCGTTTCCGCTGTTTGACATTACGTGCTTAGAAATCCAGCCACTCACAGTGAGTTGTTTTGTCTACTGAAAGCAAGTTGGGAGTAGTGACGGGCAACAATATATTCTTGAGTGATTTCAGCTTGATAATCGGGAGATAAGTTGTAAATTGTGCTGGATTATAATCATGTTCCAGGGTTGTTCTAAACCGTCCATAGTGATTGCAAAAAACGTGGTATGTATTCTAGGCTGTCTCCGACTAACGTAGGTTCATCTTTAAGGGCATTCCTTAGAGAACTTAGCGATTTCTAAGTGAGGGACTCTTGGTTTGAGTCCCGTTTTGAATGGATGACGAAAGAGTAATCGGTAGGTAATCGGTTGTCGGTAGAAACGGCAATTCTACACTCCGACTTGGTCAAGCTGGGTTGGATGAGAGAGGCAGAGATCGAATCAGGGCCGTGGTATATTCTCCTATATACCCTTCTCATATGGTAGCCACCCAACTCTAGTTTCGATACATAGCCAGTATCGATTCTAACCATCTGGACTGATCGCTGTTCACCAGACATCAAGGGTCAAGCGTTTGAACTCTACGTATGGTCAAGGACAATTCTACCCTATTCAGCCGGATGCTAAATAAGGAGGTCTCCCTGTGATCGCAGCACAAAATCTAAAATGACAACTAGCCTCAGAGACTCCCGGTTTGAAATGGTGTTCTTGGTTCACAGTAAACTACAACATGTTTTTGAACAGAAGACATCCTAATTCATCACCAACTTTGATAGCCATGCAAATTTCCTCTACTACCCAAGTTTCATTCCACCACTGCATTCTGAAACATAATCCGGCCACGCTCTCAATTGGTGAAAGTGAAATTCGTTTGGCCTCATCTACCTGGGAAACAACATCCTCACCGAAGACCGTGACGTGGACGGAGTTTCTTGTGTTACCTGGATCACACGTCCTGCTATAATATGGTTTCGCCCATAGGGGGATCCATATCGCTGGACATTACTGGGGACATGCAAACTAGATTAATGAATCTGTGGTTGTGTAATTCACATTCTGTACAAACGTATTCAACAGTGGTCACCTAAGTCATGCATTTGTGAGGAGCATGTCAAATATTCTAAAGTACTTTTTGCGTCTAGACACTTCGATTAGGATCTGTTTTTGACGAAATCGATGAAACAGAGATTTTCGTCAATACGACGAATCAGCGGCCCGGAAAATTCTGATTCTGTTCAACCGACGTGATAGAACATAACTTCACTAGTTGGTCAATCATACCCGGAAACGTACCGTGCAGTCAGAGTTAGTGAGTTTCGGTCGCAATCTAGCATTCGGTATACTTTACTAACTGCGGACTGTGAATGTTATACCTGTGCAGCAACACAACTAGACATTTATGAAACCGATTCACGCTGTTGCGTTACTAACTATGCGTTACTCAGCTACTGCCTAAAGTATGCGTCAAAAATTCGCGAACCACAAGTGTCTCAGTCTTCTAAATCACCCTGTGGGTATTGAATTTACCGCCCCCTTCCAAACAGTTTAGACTTTACCCTACGTAACCTTGTTAATTCCCCATAATAGAACCTGTGACCGTAACTTAGCGAGTAACCCCCGTGATCAGTCAAGATGAACTTCTCGTGCTCAAAAATTTGAATAACGGCGTAGAGTAACGCAGCCCTCCTTCATACCTCGCTTTTATTGAGCATCAGAATTATGCTACAATCGACAACCTCGTTAACTAGGTTTTATCAACTATGTATCACTTAGGTATGAATTTAATTCGGTGGGCTAGTCAAATGAGGTTAGTACACAACAAGGCGTGCCATTCACCAGCTACAGGTTGCTCGCTAACTAGGAGAATGAGGCAGTGCTTATTACGAGTTGTCCGAAAAAAACGTTAAAGTCTAATAAACTGTATTGGTTCTCCATGTTTACTGCATTTCCTGATCGAAGAGGTGTTAGGGTGGAATCTGATCTCGTATGTGCCACTGATTAAAGCATAGTGAACCTGATCTATACAGGCAACACCATTCTTGTCTTTGCGAAAGGGTGATTTTGGATGAACCGATGAGGATCATTATTAAATCAGACGTCACGAGGTTGTAGTTGAAGGAAACTTTGAGGTTTTGTGGGCCACGAATAGCTTTCAAGCTGCAGTATGACTGGTGATGCATCTCTGAAGTGAATCCAAGAACTTATACATCAGGCAGCGTTGCGAGCAGTCTTGTTGTATTTTGCTAAAATGTGGCCCCAAGACTAACCGAGATTACTGGCATCGTATCCTAAGACAAACAATGCAAGCGCATCCTCACTCACAACGTAAACTGCAGGATTGCGATGCTCGTCACTTCACACAGGGCCTTGACCGGGGTCAGTTCAAACCCACGCACGACTCACTGTGCAGGAGAAGTCTGGGCTCGATATCGTTTTGGATCAAACGACAAGAAACAGGCCAGATTTCACCACACTCAGTCAAGACCCGCATTCAATTCCACTGCGTCCTACAAACCTCGGCTGCATCTACCACAACTTACCAAACGAAGAACTCGATAAGTCTCTTATTCCCTTTGTGTATTATTCGGTTGTACTAGTGTCTCTGGTAACCACTATACATAACTGTTTATTGTTAGTGTCATTCACGTTCTGATATTACTTCGAGTAAAAGACAATAGCACTATCATGCTCCCATCCTCTTCAATATACACCACCTGAAAAGACTAAAGATACAAGGCCCGAAAATGTTTCAAAAACAGGCCTTATTGAAGAACAACGAACCAGAAGAACTAGACCGTAGGCTGGATCCAAAGCATGTATGTTTCCCCACCGACCCAACACTTGTTCAACCACTCTAACACACAAAAATCCCTCGGCCGACACCCAACACAGATTTAGCTTGACTTAGCTGATTGGTTCTCCTTCCGCCTTAAATCTCGACCAACTCGGAACCTAGTCACTTGGCCTGACGAAGCTTTTGTCTCAAAAGCGAAACTTTGCCCAGCAATAAATCTACCGATTGTCACCAAACTTTTTCGAAAACAGACAGCGACCTCCTTGTCCCGAGCCGAGGCAAATTAATCAAAGCGCATAGAAACAGCTTACACTGAGTTGTTTTTCACACAGATTCTTTGATTTCTAATGGTGTTTGTAAACTCAAATTTTCATGGATATGGTAAGACCTCACTCAGAATCATCCGAACAAGACAGAGGCGATTTACTCGAATGCAGGCTCGATGTCAGTCAATGTGATCTATTCTATAACCACACATTTGGGTAAAATCAGGTACTCTGATAACTCATCATCAAGAAAATGTAACCAGACAGTCAGAAATGGAACGTCTGTGCTACTGATTTCAAATGCGTTTGACCGAATATAAAATGTTATCTTCCTTAAAAAGTTTTTCAAAGTATCAGTGGAAGATTTAGAGATCTGAAATATGAAGTCGATACACGTTACGAATGGGCTGCATGTGCTTCACGACATTACATCTACCATTTGTTTCCACCACGGTTGCAAGCGAGCGTGTTTCCTCAAAACGAGACTTCTTATTGGGTATTGTTATGGGAGCCAGCTCTGAACGAACCGGGACTACATAACTGCCAATGGAATAACCGGTTTTCGTTGAGAGATGGTTGTTGCTCATTCGCCCTTGGCAGATGAGTTGTATTCTAAGTATCGCTTTTGCCGCTTGTACGCGACAGTGATCAATAGAGCAGCTGACTCACACGTTCATTGATTTTCTGGTTTGGTCAAGCGCACCAGGCGATCGAGCGACTATCCAGACCGGGGTTCACGGTATTAAGTAGGGATGAAGTGACTGGTCCACAAAAGACACAAAAGGTCGTAGCTGAAAAAGGAAAACATGTTCCTTTCTGCTGTATCAACTAGGCATGTACTTCATTCGTTGCCCCCTGTTTCCTGTCAGATATCTACTGGGAGTTATTGGTGTTATCACTGGGCATGACTTCGTGATTCCCGTGAAAAAATGCGGCAATACTCAGATCACAGATGAATGCTTTGTTGGTACAGTATTGGGCTTGCATCTTTGGGATGGATGCATTCTCGGACAAATTTGGATGCTGTCATTCACACAGTGCATTTGTTCTTTCGCTCACAGTCGAACACACAGATTCAACCAAGGTTCCATATGCCTGTCCAAGAAGAACCGTAAACTTAATTCGGCGAGAAATGTTTTGCGGTATATAGCATCAAAATAGCTGATTCAAGGCCTTAAGCCTTATGCGAATCGCCCATAGTTATTGTGGATATTGAAATTCCCATGAACAACTTTCGTATATGTGAAACTACTGTATTCTTTAACGTTGAGAACCACTAGTATAAGTGAGTTCGATCTATACATAGTGTTTGGCGAGGGTGTTTTCGTACCAGCGGAAGACCATCATTCTTTGGAGTATACAAGGTCTTCGAGTTTTTCGGAAAACCGCAGTTATACGTCAGAAACCTTCACGCCGAGGGATTTGGCATCGCCAATGGTCGGGCACACCAGGAAGCAAGCAACGCGGCGTTCACAACAAGTGTCTCATTACCGGTTTCCTAGTCTTTCAATTCTGAGTGCTGTCGTCTTTGCATCATATCAGACAGACTTTCAATTCATATTTTATAATTTTTCATCACTTACTCTGTCATCTCTTTGTTTGCCGCCGTCTTTCAAAATATTGTTGGCCATCATACTTGGTTGCGGGTTGTAAACCCACCATACTCAGCTAACCGACCACCTAATTTAGGTTTTTCGTTCATAGTCGGTGCAATTTGTTTACGGAAACCAAATGCGACGAAAGTCAAATAAGGAGTTTGTCAAAGCGCAGGTATGTTTTTCTGTTTATCAGTATGGCGCACGAAGATACGCAGACGTCAGTGTGGCCTACGAATTGAGTAAAAGACGACTGGGAACGCAGCGATTTAATCAACACAAATAAAGTTTGATATGTTGTCAACACCTGGAATGCGACAGCTAGGGGAATCGCGGATTTTTGGCGACTTCCACGTACGTAGTCCCACGCGCTTTCAAGCGTAGTTTGATTCGGTGTAGAAAGTCAGTTCCGAGCGCAAAATAAGATTTATCGTGAAACCGAATGTTGCTGAGAAGGTGTACATCGCCGCGTTCAGTTGTGTGCTGAAGAGTAAACAGTAAATATTACATTTCTAGTCGTTTAACATGAATGATTGCTATCCTGTGGGGCTTACACAATTCATAAATCAATAACCTACACTATGAATGTTGCTCACCGCAGTGTCTCATGATGACTGGCGAGCCGAATAATCCAAGTAGTTTGAATACGTCAACGGTGTTTTTGCTCACACAGCTGTCATTCCAATGGATGTTGACCGCAACGAATGCGACAGAATGATAAAGGATAAATTCTTTTGAACTCTTAGGAATGAACCTGGCTATCAGAATTTGTTTCTCCTTATGAGTATCACTTTTACAGGTGTCTGACATGAATATACCATTGCGATAATGTTTAACCGGGACTGAAGTCTACTCACATCGGAGACGTGTTCATTTGTTGGCCAAGTGAATACCGTATCCTCAACAGTGATTGACAGTGGATCATAGCGTGCCAGTGCATCTCGGTTGAGTGAAAACGTGTTCAGTTGCGGTTGGAAATCGGTATTCCATACAAGGGAAATGATGCCGGAATAAGCTTCCGGGAAGTAGGCGTGTACCAGTCCCAGTTCGAAGGACACCTCACACTGTTCTTCACACAGTACAACTCCTCCCATTTTGACGCTGTATCGGAAGGAGACGGAAAGTTTGACGGAGTAGTGAAATCCGTGCTTGAATACAAGGACTAACTTTTGTTCGGATGAGCATTACTCTTGCGGATCACACACCTTCACCGGAATACGAATTATTTGACTAACAAAGCTATCGCTCCTACTGTCAAAAGCACGGGGATAATCTTGGCAGGAATTTGTGAGATGCTACGATCTGAAGTGAAATTACTGCGAGTAAAGTGACGTCCGAATTGTCCTCTGCAGAACGTGAAGCGACACTTAATTTAGAGTAATTGGAACACGTGGATTTTCACTATAATCTGAAGAGCTTCTCATTGAAGCGTTGAGAATGGCTGATGCATTGATATTTTCGCCGAAATATTGTTCTACACATTTTGTCGGTTGGAGCTGGGATTTAATTTCACTCAAATGAGTAGGTTTTTCGTCTTCCTTGTGCTTACCTTTGGCCATAACAGGCTGGTGACCAAGTGTAGTTTGGTGATCACGAGATCAATGGTAGATGTTGCATGCATTCAAGGAGTTGTGATTACGTTACCGGGATTGAAGGGCACCCAAAATGCCCGAGTGTTTCGAAATACTAAATTTGTGGAGGTTTAGTGGGTACGAATGAGATCAGCTCATGTTTGAAACTGACCGTGCGAGTTACGTCATTTTAGATTACTCTATAGTTGAGTGAAAACAGGATTTCATACGCCCGTCAAGCCTAATGACATTTAAACTCCCCTACAAAAGGGATCACCACATATCAACTCCTACTGAACAAGAGAAACGGACACCACACAAACCATCTATCGTGTGTCGATCTTACATTCCTCTATAGAACCGAAACACATCTGTACAGGCAACACAACGAGAACAAGAATGTGGTGGAATGAAAACAGCTCGTGGAATGTCACTCCCGCACTCGGTATAAACATAGATGAAATGGGAACAGAATATCTGGGCCAGTTGCATCGCACGTATGGAACAAAACTGTACCATGACCGATCATTAATTCGACATTTGCCACATAGTATTTCTGCGGTCCCTCCGAGGAAACGCGGCACTGCGTACTGAGACAGATGAGCGTATTCGTTGGATACCAAGTGTGTAAGTTGCAAATCGCTGCTAATTGACGAATGCATGATTTCACTTTCTCGTTTTAGATGTTTCAATAACTATTCCACTAAGTTGTCGG